TCTGTGCGGGAATAACCCCTGCAATGATACAGGCAGGGGTTTGATGGGCTGGGGAACAGCTCTGCTGAAAAGAACTTGGGGGATCTTGGTGGACAAAAGGCTGCACAGGAGCCAGCAATGGGCCCTAGCAGTGAGGCAGGTCAGCAGTGTCCCATATAAACAGGAGCTTGGCCAGTGGGCGGAGGATGTAGTTGTCCCATGCTACTTGCCACTTGCTGGACCACATGCTTAGGTTGTGTCTAATATTGTTCTCTCACCCCACCCCCAAATACAGGACAGAAGTGAATGAACTGGAGCAAGCCCAGTGAAGGCCCACCAAGGTGGTCTTCACTTGCCCTGTGAAGACAGTCTGAGCGATGATATTTGTTCAGTCAGGAGAAATTTGATGAGATGTACAGCCTGTTAATAAAGATGTCACTGTCTGAAATCACACGTGTCAAATGAGTGAGTACTGTAAGAGTGTGACAAACTATGTAACAAAATGTCCCCCCCCAAAAAAAAGCTGTTCTGACCATCCATTTCACTGTTTTCTTTCAATTTGTGTCTGTTCCTGTTCATTTGGAGATCTGGAACTCAGCTTGGGATCAGGATATTGGAATGCATTGACATTGTCTGTCATTTTTATTGGATAAAATGAAATATGCCTTACCTTCAGACTACGAGATTAGCATGCGACCCTGTGTTTTGGTAGCATGAGAGTTCAAATGTTTGCTTATTGAATTGACAGTGGAAGAGTGGGAAAGAAGAAGCAATTGCAGACTTTCAGAAAATAGGGTTAAGATTTTCTTTTTTCTTCCTTTTTTAAGCAACACATCTGAAAGAATGTTCTTTGGCATCTGCCTTTTCCTGAAGGCCTTTAGAGGAGATCCCTTGACATTTACGAGAAAAAGAGTCCAATAACTGAGTCACACACAAAAGAATGATAATTATTATTAACATTTACATTTTAAAACAAAGGCATTTCTCAAATAAACGGCAGCACTGGTGAAATGCTGTGAAAAAAGGCAGACCAATTGTACTGCAAGTATATCCTTACTCTTAGAGCACCATAGAGCATTTTTATGCTTTTAAGAGTGAAAACAGGATTTTAATTTTTAAGATTATGCTTTGCGCATTCTTCCTGCTTTAAATTAGAACAGTTAGGAGTTGAGTCACCTTGGCTTTTGCTTGTCAAAATAATCAGGAATGACAGGTGAATTAAAACTGAGCCCAGATCTCAACAAAAGCATATTTGGAAACAAAATGTAAACCCCTCTGTGCTGTTCTCCCCCCACACCCCTCTGACATTTTATTTGCCTTCCCATACTCTTGTTTTCACTGCAGTTTTTGGCCTGATAATTATTAAAATAGAAGCAGAAAATCACAGTTCTGCTCCCAGACTTGCTGTGATACCATCTTTTTGGAGCCTCTGTTTTCGAGATCTACCCCAGAAAGGTTCTGTCGAAGTTGAGATAAGGAAGTAAGCTTTTGAGTACTTGACTTTGTTAGTTAAGCATTAATTTGGTGCTGAATTGGAGGATTTAGGGGTATGAAAGGTTTTGCCTTCAAATTTTATCTGTTTGAGATTTTTCATAACTGCACTTGCCCCATTTTTCTTGCCTTTTAAGGTAAAAGTATACTAACACAAAACTGTCATTAACTGAATCTTCGTTTCATCTTTTCCTTCTGTGATGGGACAAAGGATGGTGTCCTGGGTTCAGCAGTAGCAGTCGTTTTTCTCCTTAGTATCTGGTGCAGTGCTGTGGTTTTGACTTTCTGTCTGGAAACAGCGCTGATAACACGAATGTTTTTAGTTGTTGCTAAGTCATGTTTACTCTGACCAAGGAGTCTCATGCTCTGCGAGAGAGGAGGAGAAGCCGGCAGGAAGCAGAGACAGGACACCTGACCCAAACTAGCCAAAGAGGTGTTCCATACCACAGCACGTCATGCCCAGAATAAGAACTGGGGTCAGTTACCCAGAAGGGCCAGATCACTGCCAGGGTCAGGTGGGGTATTGGCAGGTGGTTGTATTCTCTTTCCTTGTTATTTCCCTTATCATTATCATTATTGGAGGCAGCAGCAGTGTTTTGTGTTATACCTTAAGTTACTGGACTGTTCTTTTCTCAACCCGTGGGACTTACATTCTTTCGATTCTCCTCCCTATCCCTCTGGGAGGGGGCTGGGTGGGGGAGAAGGGGGGGGGAGTGAGACAGAGACTGCATGGCCTGGTTTACAGCTGGGCTTAAACTACGACAGATGGGTAGTATAATTCCAGTTTTGAGTGGATGAAAGAAACCTGAGGAACTTCTGGGTTGGATAATTTCTGCTGTGAAGTGTGATGTACAGATTTTATTTCTGTGAACTGAAACCAAATGCTGTCTCTAGTTAAATGGGATTGTGGAGCGGCCCTTCATCAAAAGGAGAAATCTAAAACCTGAACAGCATTACAGAAGCATCCAGTAGTGCAGCATAGTGCTTGAAGTCCCAGAAGCTCCCTCTTTTCCCATGCTTGCAGTAGTCAGTATCCAGTGAACAGCAGAAGGCTTTAGGAAGAAGAAAAGCAGAAGCTGGTTTGTTTTCCTTTTTTTGTGTGTGTAACAGGTTTCCTAGGAAAAGTCAGTGCTGTAAGAAAGTAAGTGGATGAAATCACTGATGGCAAAGATGATGCAGAGTTAGATGATCTTAAGGTCCTTTCCAACCCTAACTATTCTATGGTTCTATGATTCTGTGCTGAGAGTATACTGGAAAAGCATAAGAGTATTTTATATTAAAACTTTTTTGAGTCTTTGCACTTATATCTGCTTATCAAGCCATAATTGCCTCTGATGAAGCATATGCTTGATAAGACAGAATGTGAAATGCATCATGATGTAGGTTTTTGAACACTGGGCTGAGCAGAGCTGTTTTCTACAGGAATATTCAGAGGGAAAGGGACCTGGATCGTCTGCCAGGATTTCAAGGAGAAGGCTAAATGTCTCTATGGTGTACTAAAGAAGTGTTTGGAAAATGCACAGGAGGGAGAGCAAAGGTGTAACTGACAGCAGACAAGCAAGTGGTTCTGAAAGCAGTAATGGGAATATTACTATCTCTTAATAAATGATTAATATGTTTCACAGAGATTTTTCTGAATAAAGTTGGCCTTTGTATATTTTTGTTGAAAGGTTTTGTGTGATCTTTAAAAGGAGAGTGAATTTGCTGTAAGACAAACCAAGAGTCCACTTTATAGTAATACAGACAGCTGTGTGTAACCAAGAAGTATTTTTTTCCATTACTTCTCCTGAGAGACTGCTCCTTCAAATGCTTGATTTCTTGTTTTTAATTTTGAAGAGGAAAAAATAGAGTGTGCTTTCTGGGGCATTTTTGAAAACATTATTTCACCATGAAAAGAAGAATGTCACATTTTCTCTGTGCAGCGAGCTTTCTCTCATTTGAAACTCTTTTGCCATCATGTGTGGTCAGTGTTTTGGGAGACTCCTGTTCAACTGTATGGTTTTTTAAACATTGTACCTGTTGCATGTATCTGTTCATAGTGTTCACATTCAGGATGTGAATCCTCCCAAAGACCTTTGAGGTAATAGTGTTCAGGGATTTTTTTTTTTTTTTTTTTTTTTTTTGTGGTCTATCAATAACATTGACTTCCAACTTGTTATTCCCAGCTTTCAGTTAATGAACCAAAAAAAAGGTTCCCTTATGTCAGAATTAACAGGGTGTGATCAGGCTGGAAAACATTTCCATTGTCAAAATGGTTTTGTTATAGCTGTGTGCTCTCCATATTGATTAGAAGAGCTTGAAATTCCTTGGTTGTTTTTTCTAGGACCATTGCTCAGCTTCTGTTTTGAAGCTCTTTCTGAAGTATAGAGTACATGGGGTCTTTTAAATAAAGTACAAATCTGTTTTTTTAAGAAACACTCCTGTATGCTTTAATATATTGCCTTTTTATTTGAAACTACTTTGTTTCTACCCAGAGCAGGCACTAATACTGTGACTTCTCTCTGCTTACAGAACACTGTATGAAAGTAGGATGATGTCAGGTCCCAGGCAAGTGGGGAGTGGGAACAGACCATGCATGCTGAAGAGCTTTGCATATTACAAGCAGAGAATATGTTTGGGTTTGGTTGTTGATGTTTTTTGTGGTGGTTTGGTGTTTGTTGGGGAGTACACACTGAATAGATGTAATTTCTTTAGGAATGTTTTCCAGATACTAAGTCTAAATTCTTCCTTATTCCATTGCAAACTATTTCTTCTGCTTCACCCCTTTATTCCCACCTTCTCAGTTGTGGGTAGGACCAAATTCTGCGCTTGGTCAACTCATTCGAGTGAAGCAGCTTTGAATGGAATAATGGAATTTCTTGTTCATTTACAGTTATGTAACTGGTGAGAGGATCTAGCCTGTGAAAGGAGATGCATTGCCTTTTTGCTTTCACATGGGCACTGTGCTCATTGTCTCACCAGACTCTTATGAAAGGGGAAAACATAAAATATTTTTAAATTACCAAATCAGATACAAGTGAAAAAATTACATTTTTTTTTATAAACACAGATCCTTTAATGAACACGTATTTATATGTTTATGATGTTGTGTCAAGTGGAAGTACTAATTGTTTTGCCTGGATGAAAGCCATGTCTAGCTCAAACTAACCTTAAGCAAAGTCTCAAGATTGCAGAAATACTGAGTTCAATATAGCAAACAGTTTTCCGAGTACTGCAAGTGTTAGTTTTGTATTTCAAGTCCAGCTTTCTTGGACAAAACAGTGAAAACGTCTCTCACATCAGTTTTCAGTTAATAGAAGTTTTGATATTCCTGGTTTTATTTGCATGAAATTTAAATCATAAAACAATAATCTCTTACCCTGAGTGATGGAAGGACCTTGTAAGAAACCACAGAAGATTATTGTAGGAGAAGCCTGATAATCCTTCCCCCCCCCCCCCTTTTTTTTTCTTAATGCTAATTTTCCTTTTCCAATGGGAGTGAGTGATGTCATCCTGTCTCCTCCCACTGTGTAAACTAAGCTCGTGTCAAAGTGCTGCTGCCTCTTGCCACAGAGAGAGCAGTTCACTTAAATGCAGCTGCAGTACTTCTTCTGTGTGTTACCTGTCAGAATCATTCCCAGGGAAAGTCTGGGTTTGTGACCATGATGTCAAGATTGGTTTTTCTCCTTTTCTGTGGATATATTGCACTAAATCTGGGAAATGCTCAGAAATTGCGAAGAGGCAAGTAGCTATGACAACTTCCCGGGGTTTTGTTTGTTTTGCTGTTTGGGGCTTTTTTTTTTTTTTTTTAAATGCTTGTGTTTTGCATGGAAGTTTACTTTCAGCATGTTAAGAATGATAAAAATAATGGAAAAGATGAAAGAACAGTCAACAGGGTGAGGTACAGGTACAAGAGAGTAACTTTAAAGCCCTTTAATAAAACAAGTTCAAATGTTTTCAGGTATCTTGTGAATTTAGTGAGAAGTTACCATGAAACAAAGTAACTGTATTTAATGATTTTGTAAGGATGTAGATAGCATTGTGCAGATTTGTGGTTTAAGATCTTAAAGAATATGTGACTTAGAAGCATCCTGTGTTATTGTTGGAAAATTTCAGTTCTGTCTTGAAATAACTTTCATGCTTTGCCTTTATATCCATCCTTAACAATTCAGTAGGAATTGACTTTTGTAGGTCAGGTTGTATGCATTTATTGAAATTTCCACCCTCCAAACCTGTGTGAATATTTCTTTAACTGTTCCTTTCTGCTGGAGTCTGGAAGTACAGTAGATTTTCAAAGCTGGCAGGGACCTGTTCTTTTCCTTGCTAATGTGACCCATGTCACATTTACATTTTATATGTATTTTATTACTGCTGGAAGAATAGTCATAGCTTAAAATGAAAAGAATATTTGTGTATCTAGATTGTAGTACTTTGGCATTAAAATAGCACTTTCACAATTGTTTCTGTACTGCACGCATTGCTCTCACTTTGTAGAAGTGCTTGCCTGGTTCCATTGTGCTTTATAATGCATTTTACAATAATGCATTTTATATCTGCGATCTCCTGAAACTAGTAACATTTAGAAAGGGAGCTGTGATTTAGTTCCTTATGAGAATGTTTATTAAGAAATCATTACTTTAAGGGCTTCCTAGGAGATTCTGGTTCATAGATGTGGAACCTAAAAGTGTTTTCAGGAGAAGAGGTGATTTTTTTTAACACTCACCCCTCCTCAAGAGACTTTTTTTAAAGATTACTTTTTTCTTCATCCCCCCCTCCTCTCACCTCTCTGGTGATATTCTTTTGGAGGTGGCTTTCTTTTAACCTCCTCTTCTTGAGCCAATGTGGAGTTTTCTGCATACTGCTCATAGCGGGGCAATGTGTAGTCAGATATACAGTTTTTCAAGTCAAGCAGACTGTAAATCCTTAGTTTTACCAAAAAAAAAAAAAAAAAAAAAGCAGCCTGTGAGTAAACTATTATAACAGTTTTCATAGGACAGGGAGAAACCTTGCACAAAAATAAACTGAAAGTTGACTGACAAGGGTAATGGGTTAAAACTTAAACAGGGGAAGTTTAGATTGGTTATAAGGAAGAAGTTCTTTCCTGTAAGGGTGGTGAGGCACTGGAATGGGTTGCCCAGGGAAGCTGTGAATGTTCCACCCCTGGCGGTGTTCAAGGCCAGGTTGGACAGAGCCTTGGGTGACATGGTTTAGTGTGAGGTGTCCCTGCCCATGGCAGGGGGGTTGGAACTAGGTGATCTTAAGGTCCTTTCCAACCCTAACTGTTCTATGATTCTATGTATTGCCTACTTTGAAGGAGGAACTTCTCTAATGCTCGTCTACCATAGAATAGTGGCTGTAAATTTATGTTAACTGTGAAATTCAGACAAAGTTACTGATCCACTGCAGTCAGTACAGGAGTAACTCTGGGATGCATCTTTTCATGTCCTAAAATAACATTGCAGAAGTGAAGTTCTGTTTGCCAAATACAGAAAGCTGCAGGTGGAAAATTCATTTGTTTTTGGTGAAATAGCTTTTTTAAGATTCCCACTTTGCATTGTTGAAACACCAGTCTAATCCTTTTGTTTGTCATTGTCTCTGAGAGTATTATTTACATTGGTCTGCATTGAAAAAGCAAATATATTAGTACCTAGCTGTTACCTGGAAATGTTCAGAGGACTGTCTTTCTGTCAACACTCTCTTGTTTGAAATGTAGTACAGATGTTTTTCATAAGCAAAAGAGCATATTTGTATCTTAAAGTAATTCTAAAATGAGGATATGTAGCAGTAGTATTCTGTTAAGAGGGCTACTCTGCCCTGCTAAGCAAACTTTAATTCTAGTGAATTCCTGTGCTCTTTAAGTCATAAACTATGTAACTAAGGTTCGAGGGTGACTCCTTCTCTGAGGGGAACCATGGAATAGATTTCATAACTTGAGGGAGAACAATCTAGCCAAATTTTTAAGGTGGTGCAGGTTATCAATGTAAATCTTACTCTTCTTATTAGCACTTTGGAGTTCTCTCAAGTCTTCTCTCCAGGAGGTGAAACACACTGATCGCTAGTCTTGTGGACTGGGATTTCCTTTCAGTGATCCAAGGTGGAAAGGACATCTTGCCTCCTGCAGCTGCAAAGGAACAGAGCCAGCACACCCTTTGGATGTCAGTAACTTCCAGAGCTGTGTGAGAGATTGTGCGCAAATAATGCTGCTCAGGAGGCTGGAGGACACATGGTTTCCCTTTTCCTGTGTATTTTTATACTTTCACTTCCACAAGTGTGTGTTTGACTGAAATGACAAAGAAAATGTTATTGGTGTTCTCAAAAGAGTGTTCTTTATTAACAAATTCAATTCTTTAATAATTTTGACTTCAAAAATTAGGGCACTATTGGAATAATTTGGAAGCACTATCAACATGACTCAAGGAGTCAAAATCGTGGAAATATCAGTTAAAATTTCCAGTGGGAACTTTTTGCTGCTTCTGTATATCCTGCATTATAATAATTTTGCTTGCATAGAAAATAGGTCTTTACTTACATCTGGTTCTAGTGTAGTGCCCTAAATGCAGGTGAACACCCTTTCTCTTGCAGTTGTCAAATTTACTATAGTAAATGACAAGTGTTGAGGCAGTTACAAGCTGTGTCATAATTCTGACTCTCTGCATTAGAAGTTTACAGATACAAATAAAGGCAATGGAATTGGAAAGGGAGCTTGGTGGGTATTTTGTTTTACTGTGGAGACAGTGCCTTTTTCCAATTATGTTGTGCTTCATGAGTCTCTGAGGGATCAGCTGCTAAGAAAATTCAGTAGTTGGGGCCTATGGAGACTGTGAAGAGTCGCAGAAGAACAGGCAGGAGATGATGGTAAGATTAGCGATGGTCTTTTATCAAGTAATTGAGCCACTGTCCCTTCGACTATGTCAGCTTCTAAAGCTTTTTTTTTTTTTTTTCATCAGAAGAGAGAGAGACCTGGACATGTAGTACTTATTTTTGTCTCTTCCATTATGCCACTATGCTTGTGCCATCCAACATAATATTTCAGTTCAGCACTGTTAAACCTGAAATATTTTAATGAGGCGTGGAAACAATTGCAATGCATAGATGTCAGACAAAATCCACTAAATTGTACACTGTATTTCACTGGCATCTTTCCAGCTGGACCTGATACAAATGTTGAAAGCAACAGTTGTGGAACAAATTCTTAGTGTTTGGTAATAGCATTTCATGTTTTTGCTTTTGCCACTTGACTTTCCAGATGTACCTAGAAATGCACTTTTTTCACTGTAATCTCTTTCTGATAGTTTTTGTGTATCTTCATGTTCTGTTTTTCTTTGTTAGAGTGGAGAAGAATTTGGGGTTGATATAATCTTATAAACTTGCAGTTAAGAGTCTGAATGCTTTTCTTTTTTCTTTTTTTTTTTTTTTTCCTTTTTTGGTGTCGTTCCCATCCCCATCCCCCCAGTCCCCCCCTTTCTCCAGTTTTATACTATTTGAATTAATCATCAGGTGGATTGCATTTAGGGTCCATCCTTGTTCTACTTTCCAGAACTCAGGCCTGTCCTGTTCTGCTTTCCAGGAAGAGCTCAGGAAAGCTTAGTTCACCTTATTCCTAGTAGCTGCCTTCATAGGAAAACATTCCTTACGGAACCACATGAAAGAGCCTGATTTACAGACTCATGTAGGAGAAACCAGATCCAAACTTTCTTGTTTCTATAGTTGTCAACTGTCGGGATAAGTGGGAAAAATAATAAGGTTTTTTGGTTTCTTTGGTAAGTATACAGGAATGTTAGAAACTACTGTAGGTAACTACTAGTTAAGATTTGTATTTATGGTAATTATAACTGACATTCCTTTGAGAGTGAATGCTGTATTTACAGTATACTTCCAAACTTTTGTTGACATTTGTGAAAGGAATAGGCTAATATTCTCAGCTAAATTTGCTGGCTATGCTATGTTATGTAATACTTCTTCCTAGGCAGAGGTTAAACTTAGCATGTGTTTTCACTTACTGGAGTCGAGCAGTTAAAACAATATAGAGTTATTTCAGTCTATCTCAGTTGCTATACTGCAACAGCCAAACCTTAGTCTTTAAACTTTTGTGTGCTGTTCCCCCAGCTCCCCAGAAGCATTTCTTTGGTAGCTGTAGAATAGCAGGGTAGAAATCATAAGACAGGGAAAAGTGTCCTGAAAGTTGGAGAGTTTTTTAACATAGAATAAAGCTGGCATATAAAAATATCACAAAAGGAGTGAAATGACATGTGGTTTATATGTTATTTTCTCCATGGTTTATGAAACATCTTTCTGGGAACTATTTTTCAAATTACATAATGCATTAACCTTTAAAAATACATATTCTAATGAAGCAGGTCCAGTTACTGAAGTTCATTTTTTTTTTTTAGTGTCTGGAAAGAGAAGTGCAGAATTAATTTGATTTGTGCAAAATACTTCTTTTATGTTTAATGGCATAAAAATGACAGTAAAGTCCTATGAGAAATGTCAAAAGGATCCTTTTAGCTGGTATAATAGAGAGGCAAAGGATTTCAGTCTGTAGATATATCATGGCAAATTTGGCTTATTCTCTCTGAAAATTAAAACAACTCATAAGAATGTTGCCATTATAGGAGCTCATTTAATCAAAGTTAATTTATCATACAGACAGTTGTGTCCTAGGATTGCTCAAAAATGTATCAAAACTCAGTATTGAGTGTCAGACTTCAGAGTTCAAAGATAATCTGTAATACCAGAATTCC